TGTCATTTTCATTCAACACTATTTTATATCTCGCACATATGCAATGGACATTCGAAGAAGATGTAGATTGTTCACCTATATTCCGTGGAATATTGGATAAATCCGTAAATTGTCATCACAACAATACTACAATATAGAACTTAGATCTGTTATCGCTTGGATACTAAATTTAATGGTAAAATTCGTCGGATATCCGTTAAATTTAATATAAAAACGGATAATGGATTCATGCGCTACTGTAATAGATTACTGTATAATTTAGTGACGGGTCCAGCTCTAGTAGTGAATTTAAATAAAAAGGTCGATTCAAATATTTAATATATATATAAAACAGATTCAAGTATAATTTAAAAAATGAAACATGCGACACTAAAAGAACTATTTAAATTTATTATCATCATTAATATCATTAATAAACATGAATTACATAGTATATATTATTGATTAATTAATTTCTACAGGATTGACAAAATCAGTATTATCATTACGGGGGCGAGAGCCGGGCATCGCCTAAATCTAGTACACCATAGATAGAACTTTCGTTCCACTTCCAGCCCAACTAAAGAATTCGGCAATTATTAATTTGCAATTATGAATAATTCGAATGGAGTATTCAGACTTGGTTACTAAGAAAAATAAAATAAATCACAAATACTTCTTGACTTTTGTGTAAATGGCCAGATACATTCGTTATTTAATACTTTACGATATCTATAACTGATAAGAAAACAAATAATTAGAATAAGATATTTTAATAAGATCTAAAACTTTTTATGTTATAAACCTACTTACCTTCTGTATTTCTTATCATTTTTAACTTTAATTTATTTTATGGGCTTCTTGATATTTGACAAGTGCTCAATCTTTATCGCTTTTACGGGTCGAATGAAGGCAAATCGGGCTCCAACCGGCATCATGTAATCTGACATAAACCTGGTTTGAAACAGATATTTGGCGCAAATAAGAGACTTTTAGGATACAAATCAGGTGTACAAAATATATCGGAATGCCCTCTATAGATAAATTGCCTTATAGCTTTATCGATTTATTCCTAGAGCTATTGGCATTCCGATATGTATTGAACGCTTATATGAACCCAATTTGTATTCTAAAAGTCTTCTATTTACGCCAAATATCTGGTTCATATCGGGATTACATGATGCTGGTTGGAGCCCGATTTGCTTTCATTCAACCTGGTTTATATCAACCACATCTTGATAATAAGAGCTAACCTAGAATATTCTATAATCATATCAGTACAATACAGATATCTTTTAATAATATTTAAAATTTTTGTACTGTACTTATCTCCTTTTATTAACTTTGCTAATATCATACATTCCATCAACATAATCCGATTCTGCTGGCTTTTCATAATATTCGAAAGCTTTGTATATCATCTTTATCAGTATCATTCCAATATCAGCTAATGTTTGAATACAATTAGATAATTTTGTTTTTAGCATCTCTGTCATCAAAATTGCAGGTTTGTTTTTACTTTCGCCCTTTCTTTAAGATCTTTATACATTTCACAGGAAAAACCCAACGATTCAATGTCAAAAAAAAAAAAAGGTTAAATTAAAGTCAAAAACAAAAAAAAAAAACTTGCCAAAGCGTTTCCAGGAGTTCTATCAAAATACCAAAATATTAAATTAGTGAACGAGGTAAAAGCAAATAACTAGTAACAAAGCAAGTAACTAGAGTGCTAAAACTAGATCCAGTACAACATTACATCTGTCCCGTGGATACTAGAAAAAAATACATTAGTTATCGCTATATATAAATTTTGCGCTTTATAAGAATTTTGCTAAGAATAAAAATTACACAGTACGTACCAGGTACGTACGTACTATACACTACGCGATTGTGATAATATTTTAATCAATAAATTTAATTGGTTGATCCTTATGTCAAATTACTGACGCACATGTATGAGTCAAATTTAGGTGCGTCAAAAATTTTGGGGTGATTCGCAAATCCGCTGATATGTTTTTTAATAATTTAATCTATCGTAATGATGGCGATTTGTGGATTTCTTCAATATTCCACTGGATAGAGGTTAAAGTAGACCAGCAGTGGTGAACAGTGATGGTAAATGACCTGGTCATTTGCAAATTTTTCAAATGACCTTAAATGACCCCAAATGACCG